ATATTATCAAGTAAAAACGAGATTTTCAGCTAATTTTTCATTTTTTCCTCGATAACCATTTAGTGAATTTGAATAACCTTACGCTAAAGTGATTCTCCAGAGTTCAAGTTACTTATTATAAAAGTTTGAAATTTCTGGTAGATTTTTTTCTGTTAATAAAAATAAATTTAATCTGTTCGGTTAACGAATCTCCATAAAATGACGTTAAAATTACAATTTTTTAAAATTTCAGTAACTTTTTAACGGTTTAGTGAATCGATTTGTAATTTTTACAGGAGTTTTAGAATTGAATAGGGAACGTTCTTCCAAATTTTTATTTGTCTCGTAACATTCTAACATATCTCCCAAACATCCTTAATTTGTATAGAAGAATTATAGGCTAAGACTCTTTCTTATTCACTATCGTTTTCCTGTTATCTAATTGGTAATTAACTAATTAAACAATTTTTATCAAACTTTTATAATGTCCTCAGTGATACTAAAAATGTTTGCGTAAATCGTAATGCTAAAGCCCTGGGTCTAGACTTGAAATTGTGCATGTACATTCCCTTACCTACTAAGAATCGACTTTTTCAAATCAAACTCGTAAAGGGGTGAAACGGTAGTATAAAGTTTAATGTATCGGTCAAGCCAAAGCTCAAATCCGTTACTTAGGAAGCTTGAAATTTTGCAGAAAGGGTCCTTATACAACTGCATTATTCACTATAAAATGAATTTTCAAAGTACAAACTTTGAAGGTATAAAATGAGAGTTTATGATACAATGTAATTCCAAGCGGGTGAAAGCAACAGCTTATGGATAACACTAGATCTAACGTTGCTCGAACTTACTAACAAATACGGCAAAAATTGGATAAACGTTTCAAAAAACGTCCGAAAATTTTACGATAATTTATAAAATTTTCAACAACTGAATTAGTAAGATTATTAGAAATAGAAAACATAAACCGCTTCTAAATTTACACTTTTCCATATTGGTATTTTTTTACTTACAAATCCTTCCATAGCCGTTGAAATCCAGTAAAATCGTCCCAAAAGCATAGCCAGAATTAGTACAATTGAAGGGATGGGTAAATATTTCGGACAGCAGCACATGTTTGGTATACATACAATAACTGTCAATAGCAGGTACTCATTTACTGACAATGAAAAAAAATTTGTTAACTGAAAAAAAAATGCAATTTCCAAATGCGTGACATATTTAAGAGTCATCACCTGTAAACATCCGAATAGCGTGCATTGTTTAAAAGATAAAATCAATATCGCATCGGTGTGTGCTTGGTACGATGCGTTCTTTTATCATTTCGCTTTGTAACGAGAACCGTAGTAGGTAATTATGCCATTATAAACAAGCTGATTCAGTTATGTAAAAGCATAATTAAATACCGTAGATTTTGTTTACCATCATGTTTGGTACTAACATCTACCGGAAAATTATTAAAATGGACATGCTTGCTTAATATAAACACACAATACAGGGTAAATACCTACCACAGGGTAGTGAAACAGAGACAGATTCATATATCACAACATGAATAACACATTTTTTATTTTGATATAAATACAGGTACTTGATTTGGACTAATCAATTACGTATGGAGCATAGCATCTGCCAAATACCCTCTCGCTGGATTAACAAATCCAAGCTCTTTCCACAGTGTTTTTCGTTACATTTTTCGCAGTATCCCCTTAAACAGTGTCTCGTATATTCCGTTTTAAGTATTCATGATTCGTCGGCCTATTAGCATAAACATGTCCTGCTAGATAGCTCCACCGAAAAAGGCAAGATCTGTCAGATTCGTTGATCTTGGAGCAGCGCCGGCCTTAGCCCTCCTGACGCCCTTAGGCAATTTTTTGATAGCGCCCCTCGTAAAGCTAGAGTTGTCGAGGTTTGAAAAAGAAATATCAATTTATTTATTAAACTAACTCCAGTGACAGTTACATTAGCAGAAACTGTAGCGTCATCAAAGGTGTTAAGTTCAGTTACTCTTCTTGTCCAAATTCCAGACTGAACTGTAACTTGATGAGGACGCAGTACTCTGTCTGTCGTGGATCAACAAAGGTATTGAGGTCGAAATTAGGTTTATAACTCCTGATTAATTAACTAAAATCTGGCTATTTTTTTAATATTTTTATGATAAAATTACTCAAAGTGTTTAGGTTCAANCATTAATTAATAGGTAAATATGTATAATATATATAAATATTAAGTACAGTTCAAGGCAATTAAGAGTTGGAAGGGTTGGTTGGTTTTTCATTACTTTACTTAATATCATCCAAACCAAGGGATGAAATGGAGCATATATATATAAATGCAGCACAGAATGGGGTTAATTAATGACTCGCTATGATGTAAAACATCAAGTTTTTCCAACTCTTGCATTCTTTCATGTAATTAAAACAAACACCACTACTGAAAAACATTACCCAACGAATTCCAAACAATTTTAGGGCAAACAGATATGCATATGAATTATGCACATCTGTGAGCAACCTCGTAAACGCATTGCAATAGACCCATAAATAGAGATGCCAGTATTTTCTAGCTGCCCTGATAAAGTGTTAATAATATCCTTATTTATTATTTAGAAAACTTTTTTGATGTCCCTCTACTTTATAAATAAAATTTACCTTCCTCATTTGAAATATAACAATCCCTGTGTCACCAACTCCTTTAAATATTATAAATGAAGTAAAAAATATGTGTTGAAATGAAGACGAATAAACCATCAAAACTTTCTCGTTTGACCACATCTTCTGAATTCTAATTAAAATATACAGTTTGGTTTGCAAAACAGCCCCGAAAATCCAAGCAGTTGTTACCCTTGTTCATGTCGAGAAGCGAGCCTAAACTTTCCTTGAAATGACTGAATAGCAAAGTAGGCGTAGGCTCGAGGAAAACTATTAAGCGTTAATGAAAATGCCAAGACATGAAACAGGAACTTTAGCATGGCCAAGGAGCAAAGATAATAATATGAACGACTGACAGGAGGAACGGGTTAAGTGTACTTTTTTACAACTCGAGTTTCACCCAAAGTTATGTTATGTTAGTAGGGTTGAAATGGGAAAATTGCTCGTCTTTCAATGTTTTGTAGAGTTAACGGCCTTCGAGAAGGTGGCCCTTTGTAATACATAGTAATGTTATTGGGTTTTTATGTACAGCAGTGTGCTCTGTAATAGGCAGCTGATCTTTAACGTGAAATTTTAGGGTGTCATAAAGTACCTGCGACAGTACGGTCACAATTTGATGACAGAAATTTACTACCGCTCCTGATTTTCATAATATATACCTACATTATACACGACGGTGTGGTCAAAATGTAATATATCTTCGCAAAAGCGAAAATGCGAATTCATATTTCATTTTCTGATACGGATTATATTAAACGTATTGTTAAACCTAAGGAGATCATCTCACATATCCCCAGTTTTCGTTTTTTTTTTTTTCGTTTTGATGATAGACAAGCGTTTCAAAAAAATGAGATTCAAGAATATTTTATAATGTTCCAAATAAATATTGTCATATATATGTAGGCAATCCAACGTACATAGTGGCAAAGAAGATCAGGTTTCTAGAAGACATATACTGGATCATTCTAGAACACGACCAGTCTTTATAAATAGTCGTCGCGAGATCGAGTGGAGTAGTACGAAAACAAGCTCGAGGCGATCGAACTAAAGAAGAATAGAGCGATGAAGTGACACATTGTTCACTAGCCACCCGCCCCAGCTTCGCAAGGGTGCAATGCTTATACTTAATATACTATTCAATGTCTTTATATACAACATTTACAGCTTTTTTGTCATTAGATAATACAAACTGGCCCCCAGGTCGGTACCGCCGCAACCACATGTCCCTGCATTTTAAATCTGTACTATTTTCGAAAATATTCATTTAAATTACATTCTGTAAAGAGCCATATTGATCTATAATAAATGCACAATCACATCACTTCGTAAATAAGCCATTATTTCTCATAAAAAGTAAAGGATAAAAAATGGTTATTGTGGGTTATTTCTAAGAGATAGACATATACCATCCCGAACTTTTTTGTAGACCGTTTTAAGATGTACAATACTGTAGTATATTAATTTGATCTATCTCGTAGGGTTTAGTCAGCGCTTGCAATGTAAGCGCAAAAAATGTGTTTATTTACGACATCACATTAGAAACCTCTAAAATTATCAGAGTTTCTCTACTATATTATGCATGCATTATACATATAAACCTTCCTTTTGAATCACTCTATCTATTAAAAGAAAAACGCATTAAAATCCGTTGCGTAGTTTTAAAGAACTAAGCATACATAGGGACAGACAGCGGGAAGCGACTTTGTTTTATACTATATAGTGATATAGTGGTGAAATACTAATTAATTAATAGTAGAAGTGTTAATTAGACAGCAAATAGTTAAATAACTACTTCAATTAAGCACTTAGCAATGTTTGAACTGAAAAAAATGTATTTTTATGAAATTTTAAACTTTGTTTTGTTAAATGGATATGAGATCTGTAATCCGAGTACCAAGTTTGTTAGTTTTGAAACAGTAAATAATAAGCATGAGCATATAGGATAATTTCGAATTAGAGCAATGTTTGCCATCAATATGTTTCTGTAATGGTCGTCAGCGTCATGTCGTGTCATCAAATCTGTTTAGCGTCCATCCAAAACCGAAACTAACGAGGGTGCATTGTTAAAGGTTGTGTATACATAAACTGTACTCTAAACTGTGTGTGTATCTAGATTAAAGTACATTTATATGCGTGCGTGTATTTATGAAAGACTACGGTATTTTAGGTATTTAATTAAGTGAAAATTAATTTTGCGCGAAAGCAACCGACTAACGGCGGGATGATTGCGCACTCTTACCGCTCCATTATATGTTTTCAGAGTAAACATTTCCTCACTCTAACATTTTGCGGAAAATTATCCCGCCTGTCTCGTGCAGCAGTCACTGTACACTGGGCACATTAAAACAATGCCCTTCTGGTGTATTTGGAGCAAGCAAGCCGTGATACAGCAGCGGTCTCTGCCACACACTTACTACTGTACCTACTACTACTACTGCTGTTTGTTCCAACAATTGTTTTAGCCGAGAACTTTGGACTTTAGCTAACTAAGAATTTTGTCGTCGCTCATAAGAGACGCTGCGATGACAAGTGTGTATACATATATATTATATACACAAATTAATATTAGCCAACGAAATTACTGTTCTTATCTTTATCGTCTCATTTCAGTGAAAGTACGATGATGTTGTCACAATAGCGTCGCTTGATTTGATTAAATCTAAAGACAAACTTAATGCTGTTGATGCTTCCCATTTCCAAATTACGATAAAACAGTTTCTCTTGTGATTTAGTTTGCTGATGTTTGCATTGCCACATTCTTTTATTATTTCCCATTACGTATATATATGTAAAAGTTCTTATTCCTGTGTGTATGACTAAACCGCAGTTAGTTTGTGGTTGGGAGTATAATTCATTAATTACTACTTTTGTGTCGTTGTAATTGTTGGCCAATCTCGGTAGGTAACAACCACTGTACATACATGGTAATTTTTCTAAGCTAAAAGGGTGTTGTTTGTATGAAAAATCCGATAGTTCATGTGAACGTTTTTTTACTATTTGTACACACTTAGTTTCTGCATCTTTCGATAATTCAGTTTTTCGATTAATGATTTTTGCTACTCCTATTGAATGCTTCAATCTCTGAATAAAATTGTTTATTTCTAATTTATATTTAAAGTCCTTCTTTTGTCCTTTCTCTTAGTTTGACGTAATTGTATTTTATCGAAAATAAAAATTCGGCTGATAAAAAAAGCGATAGGTACTTAACTGTGACCTTTTGTCTCTTATTTCATCGTCAATAAATATCGTTTTGCTAGGCTAGCCGAGTTTAACCGATTTAGTTTACGTGTTCAGTCGTTCAAAACAGCCGAGAGGTGTGGAAGTCTTAATTAGTGGCATTATGGTGCTAATTAGTTCTTTGTTTTACGGCTTTAAATATTTGTGATAAACTAAATACGGAAAATTGTGCAATTACATCTTGTAAAATATGATGTTCGCATAACATTACTCAAATCGAACTTTTGTTGAAGGTCCTGGAGAATGTTACAATCCTGTGGTGCTCATGCAAAATAGGACGTTGCTGTATTGTCTATATTGGTGAGTTTTTATTATTTTCT